TTCTTCTTGGAATTCTTCTTCGGATTTCACGTTGGTTATCATTTCCGATATTTGATCAGTAAGCCTCATGCACTAGTCGATCTGGAATTCCGATAGTTGATCTACTTGAAGTTATGAGTTTGCTGCGCCGATTTTGTCGATCTACTATTTAGCCCGTGACAGTAGTTATTCTAAAAATATTTTGGGGTAATTTTACTAGCTCTTCTAGTTTCGGGTTTTTATCCAGGAATGTTGATACTGTTAGTCGGTCTTCTTTTTAAATATCGTTAAATAGTTGTATCCTCGTACGTACAAGTAATTGTTAACATTAGTCGATAAAATTTTATATGGGTTGTTTGCTAGGAAAATTAGCAAACGACCCATATGGACATCTCGATCGACTGATATTGCACATGATCTGTACGACATGCCGTATGAAAACCGTCGCGTAATCAACCATTAATATATAACCCAATTTAGGTTAGTACAGTACATTCGTTTCTAGTTATTTTCGCAAATGTATTTGCCACCTGAATGTTTTAACACTATGAAATACTCTGGTAAGATCAGTGAAGGTGATTTTTTATAATAATCTTTATAGTTTAACTTGTTTGTAAATATCCTTCGCTCAAAAACTTTTTAGAGTTCCGACTCCAAATGGGTGATTTGGGAGAACCAGAAATGGAACAATTTTGAACTAAATAATATTATTATGTTCTGTGATGAAACCACTGAAATCGGGAAGAAAGTTTTGGAATGGAAAGAAGATTTTAGGGAGAGAATGTTTATTTTATTTATTTGTACTGTTTCAGAGAAAGGCTGTATGTTTCAACAGACTATTTTGTGGGATGCTTTCTCACACGGACACCTTATGAGTTGCTTACTTGTAAGACAAGGGTTGTTTACTCGTTCCGTTGTAGTCTTCGGATTGCTTATTCGCACAGACACCTTGTGGGTTGCTTACTTGCAAGGCAAAAGTTGCTTACTTGTTCTGTGGCTTGAGCATACAGTACTTTGCATTTGTGGGTTTGATTAATTCTATATTCTGTTAATTAATTCTATAATCTAATTTTCCATAATAAGAATGATAAAGTCGAAATCAATAAAACTCTTTTGGAATAAGCAAGACATTATTTTAGAAACTGAATTAATTGATGAAAAGGCGTAATTGCAATGGGTAGGTTGTCTTTATAAGAACTATTTTGAGCTAATATATATTTTGCTATTTGCATCTTTAATTGCAATATCAATGTATTGTAAGGGAAACTGTTTCGAAGACCAGCACTGCATGCAGGAAAATAGATTTGAGGATTGAAACACAAGAGAAACACATAGGACTCAGCCATACTGAATGTTCCAGAGTACCAACTCCTGCTAAAATTGTTCAAAATTTCTGCGCACCAACAAATGCATTCTTAACAGCTATTTGAGATGGAATATTCCTGACCAAGCCATTGAAGATTCGGCAGTGTTTGCATTTCAATTATAAATACTTCCACTTCCTTTTGTAAATAGAAATTTTTTTTTTTTTAACTATGCTAATGTGGCATGATCTAATTATCTTAATCAGAATTGTAACAGAATTTTTTTAGTAACTCATAAATAAATTATATTAACTGTCGTGGTCAGCTTTGGTGCCCCGGAAATTCGTAGCGCAAGGGTTAGGGATCATGATCGGGATTTGCATGAATGGCGTGATTCTGAAATTAATTAAAAGGTTAAAATAGTGATTGCATGAACAATGTAGTAATCATTATTAATTAGTAATAATAGCGATTGCATGAGCGATGAGAAAGTATGTAATAATCAGTGACGCAAAATATGCATTAGTAATTAATATAAGGCATCGATCCAATAATTACCTTTGAATTATTCTTAGTGAAAAACTATTACCTGTGTGAGCATGTTATTGTCGGTGGAAGGACCTGTACGATACACGGTCTTCGAATATACTAGCCAAGCAAGTAGAGATTTATAGTAAAGGCCCACCAATACACGGTAGTTTAGGAAACCACACGACATTAACTTCAATGCAACATCTCGATTACTAGCCAGTCACATTGAAGGAGCTGCATAAGAACACCTTCAACCACGTACTGTGGTCACCAGAATGGTAAGCAAGTTCTATGACAGAATTTTCATAGTAGAATCATATAATTCTCAATACAAACTAAATTAACGCATACTATATTCACTAGAATAGCGAGTTCTGTAACAATAAGAAACAGTATTTCATACAACTGGTGGGGAAATTAGGGCACCCAAGTAGCTCTCTCGATGTGATTTAAGACTGTGTTGTTAAACGGCTTGTTCATTGGTAATTGACGCACCCTTTTATTATATTGATTATTGTTCAATGTGATAAATAGCATAATAAAAAGATGTGACAATTATCAATGAGCATGTCCATTTAACAACACTGATTCAAGATGTTGCCCAAACATCCGATTAATTGAGTGGTTATGCAGTTGATTTAAGAACGATTTGCTAAAAATTCATTGTGCAAAAAGTGGATTCTAAAAGATGCCTTATTTTATTGATCGAAAATGGTACACTTAGTTAATTTATTGATTTCAACTAATTAAATTTTTGCCTCTGCATTGTATGCATTTTCAAGAACACCACATCTAACCGATACATATGTATCATTTTCTAAATCGATAATATCCAGGAAGTTTATTTAAAGAAGGATACTTTTAAGATTCGGTTATTCTTTAATAACCCGGTTTTTAGTAAAAAATAGACAAATTACAATTCTAGAATTTCGTTGCAACGTATATCGATTAAAATCAATGTACAAAATTAATTTTCAATTTTGAGAACCATTTTATAATGTTACGCAAATTTGAATCAGTTCGATAAGTTTGATGTAACATAAATTAAATTATATTGTGGCTATATTAAAGTATAAATTCAACTTTTCGGTTTCTTCATGCATGAAAAAATTGGGCCAAGAAAGTCCATCTAAATTAATTAATATGGGATATAATTATCAACACGGACATTTATATCCAAAAGTCAGCAGAGATGGGAGATGTTGATGGAATATGTAAACTTGGTTATTTTTATGAGAACGGAATCGGAGTCGAAAAGGATGAGCATAAGGCATTCATTTATTATCAAAAATCTGCAGAGATGGGACACGTTAATGGAATATAATGCTGGATGTTATTACAAAGACGGAACTGGGGTTGAAAAGGATGAACGTAAGGCATTCATTTATTATCAAAAAATCTGCAGAGATGGGGCATGGTAGTGCAATAGAACGACTTGGATACTGTTATCGAAATGGAATTGGAACTCAAATAGATAAACAAAAGGTTTCAAATGGAAAGAAACAATTCACACGAAATGATTAAATTAATTTATAATAGTAAAGTCTAAATTTACTATGTAACTCTTAACTTGTTCGGAAGATCAAAATACATATATGGGGGGAGTCAATAGAAAAGGGACTAAAAACATTTTGGATGTTCTATAGAATAGGTGGGCAAACTCCACGAACTCCGCAACTCCGCTAAGTATTTATTAATGATTACTAATCATTAACTAAGCTTATTTCTTATATTGCCCATCTATTCTATAGAACATCCTTCAGGGTATACGTATTCTGATCTTCCGAACAAGTTTACTTAAGCAAATTTTGAACTTTACAATGTAGCGGCCATTATCGATCATGGGTAGCTTATTTTTTTTGGTTAAAAGGCGTTAAGGTGTTGATCATGTGTTTGACTTCACTTTTGATTGGCTATCCAAGTTAATTCTATAAATGCACACCCTCTAAGTGTCTGTTCACTAGAGCGTGCACTTAGGGGGATGCGACTGTATATAGAACGAAAGGCGTAGTTTTCAAATATGTATTTGGTTTCTCTGGACAATTGGTTGTCGTGGCAGCCAATTCGTTCAAAGTCAAATGATATATGGGGGGCTGCCAGTAGAAATCAAGCAAATTGTTTCTAAGTAAATTTTTTTAAAATTTTAAAATAAAATATCTCAACAACTATTAAACCAAACTTGATTTTTTTATTTATTTTAATTTTATGTAGTTATAGAATTAAAATAAAAAAAATTTTATCAAGATTAATTTAATAGTTGTTGAGATATTTTGATTTAAAATTTTAAAAAAACTCATTAAAAACAATTTGCTTGGTTTCTACTGGCATCCCCCCATATGCACGTTATATATGTCGATGATTGACCAATCAATTAGAGAACACAAATTTCGGGTATTCCGGATCAGTCCGACATAGAATCCGAACACGTGTGAAAAAAGAAAAAAACAGTCTCACAACCCTAACGTCCTAATCCTAGACTTATATTTTTACGCGCTTAGTTTATTTACAAAATTTAATTTCCTTTTTTGGTTTGTGTTGCCCACGCAAATAAGTAAATCGCCCCAAAGTCTGGTCGATGATCCACACCCTGCCGGATACACACATGATGGTGATTATCGACTCGTTGATTAAGAAATTGGCTCATGCTTATTTAGAATTCCACTGTAATTTAAAATCAATGTACGTACGTACGAAATTAATAGTTAAATTAATCGTTATTAAAGTCAATATAATATTAAGTTAAAATAACGGCCAAGAATTATCTTTTAGCAGAATTCTTCGATAATGGAAATTACTAATTTCTTCCCACTTCCCATTGGACGAATGCAAATATCGTTTTCCAATGGACGAAACCTAAATATTTCCCTTCGATAGTTAGTTACACGAATTTCGAATAATTCGTGTAACATAAATTAAACTATATTGTACTGTATCAGGTATATTCATTGATGAAAAGTATAAATTTACTTCTCGCTTTTTTCATGCGTCTTGAAAAAAAATGGACCAAAAAAGTCCGTCTGAATTAAATAATATGGGATATAACCATCTACATGGAATCGGAGTTGAAAAGGATGAACATAAGGTATTCATTTATTTCCAAAAATCTGCAGAGATGGGTGACGCTGATGGAACATTTAATGTTGGAAATTGCTATCTCAATGGAATTGGTGTTGAAAAGGATGAGCATAAGGTATTCATTTATTATCAAAAATCTGCAGAGATGGGACACCCTAAAGGAACATTTAGTGTTGGTTATTGTTATCAACATGGAATTGGAGTTGAAAAGGATGAACATAAGGCATTCATTTATTATCGAAAATCTGCAAAAATGGAGTATGCTTATGGAATATATTATGTTGGTTGTTGTTATGATGAAGGAATTGGAGTTGAAAAGGATGAATATAAAGCATTCATTTATTATCAAAAATCTGCTGATATGGGTGACGTTGATGGAATATATGGAGGTGAGTCAATAGAAATCAAGCAAATTTTTTATAATAATTTTTTTTTATAACTTTAAACAAGAATAACTTAACAAAAACTTGATCAAATTTAATAAAAATTTTTTTAAATAATTTT